TCCTTGCAATTGAAAGGTTAGTAAGCGCAATTATTATTTAATTTAATTAAAATGAACAGAGGAAGCCCATCCAAAATTCCATCTTTATAAACGAACTCTATTTTAAGAGTGAGCTTGTAAAGCGAGTTGTAAATTTAAGGTGTGGGGTGTGCGATAGACTTACCTCCACGTGGTGCACCCTGGGCAACATATACTCATACGGCAAAAAAGTCTATTAACCGGCAGTTGACTTCTCACTTCAAACTACCATGACCCCACTGTATGTCATATTCCACCACTTCCACAGTAATCATCCTACCTTTTCTCTGCCTTTGTGTCTGTCTCTTCTGTTCCCCATCCCTCGAATTTCTGTTACTTTGGTGTTCCTCCTCCTGCCTGTGAAACCCGATGTCAGCTAAATGGCTAATGATAACTATCAAAACGCCTGCCATTTGAAATAAATAAATAAAAGTTTAAGGTGTATGGACCTTCAAGTCCATAATTTTTGGCGTGGACTAATTTTGAGGAGTCATTCTCAAGCCCCTCTCGCGCGTCAGCTCGAATTTGACTGAGACAGTGCGATTGAATGAGAGTGTGCAGTATAGAACGCTTATCTCAGAATCGAAGAACTTTCAGACTCGGATGTTAGTTATTTCATCATCATCGTTGTCCAACCAATGTGAACAATGCTAGCAACACAATACAACAAATTCTTAAAATGGCAGTGATCCTCATTTCTCCCGGGGGGGGGGGTTCAATGGGACGCGCAAATAAGCGATTCACAATCGTTGATTTTGAGAGAATTTGGGTGTACTTCCTAGAAGGTTGCTCGAGCATGTTTAGCAAGAAATCAACGAGATCTACCTGTAAACAAGCTACTTAGAGCTATTTTTCGCATAGAAGCTGCTTATATTCACAAGCACAGCGATCAAAAGCCTGTTTCAAGACAGCGGAAAATCTTCTGCGTTATATAACATACCTTAAGGCTTTACAAATGAAGATATTCAGAACTAAGCGAGTTTATTCTTAAGCGAATAAATGTTAAAATCTCAAAAAAGGGGTCTTTGCTAATTTATCCTGTTAGTCAAAATTAATGACTTATAAGTAGGCATATTGTTAATTGCCATTACAAACATTAGGCCCCCCCCCGATAAAGTACTTTCAAACAACCCCACCCCCACCCCCACCCCCACCCCCCCCTCCTTAACAATGCTAATTTAAAATGAGGGCAAAAAGAACACACACACACACACAAATATTAAAGGTGAATTTGACAAAAAAAGAGTGTAAAAGGAAAAAAACGAAACGAGAGAATGACTTACACGAAACGGGAGAAGAAGAGGAAGAGAGAGAGGGCTATTATCGTGATGATCGAGCAGACGTAATTGACGACTGTAATTGCTGGTCCGTAATTTCTTAAATTCTAAAATTAAGAAGTAGACTGCACCTCTGACACATCGATTTATTACAATTGATTTGTTAGAGCAGGGGTGTGCGATAGACTTACCTCCACGTGGTGCACCCTGGGCAACGTATACTCATACGGCAAAAAAGTCTATTAACTGGCATTTGACTTCTGACTTCAAACTACCACGACCCCCCTGGTTGTCATATTCGACCCCTTTCACAGTACTCACCTTACGTTTTACTCTTCCTTTGTGTCTGTCTGCCTCTTTTTCATCTGTGAATCGCTCTTCTGTTCCCCACCCCTCGACTTTCTACTACTTTGATGAACCTTCCCTCTGTGAAGCCTGAAGTCAGTTAAATGGCTAATGATATCTATCAAAACGCCTGCCATTTGAAATAAATAAATAAATATTTAATACTATTTTTAAACATTTTATGTTTGAAATGGTAGTATTATTAAGACAAAATTTAATCTCTGAAAATAGGTATGCAAAGTAAGAATTTAAAAATCACGGATTTGTGTAAAAGATATATGTATACATATATGTATACTGCGCGCAAATAAAAATGATTCTCAAAAATAATTTTAAAGGGATTTTTTCTTTTATAGAAATTATAATTTTAGAGATTCAAGCAAGAGACAATCTATAAAAGGTAAAATTCGCTGAAGAACATGTAATAATTCTTCTACATCACTTCTGCATTCAGGTTTTTTACTAAAGTAAAAATTTTTATTAAAGAATGTGAAAAACGGGTGATGGGCTAATCTTACTTTAAACCAACTGACAGTTTTTCAGTGCGAGATATCCAAATAATTTAATAAGGAGCGCATCAAATTAACAATTATCACGGAAGCTTACAATTGACGGTGTAGTAAACTGATCCGAAAGTCTGGTTATTTTGGGTTAGATAATGAATAATTCTTGCAATAACATGAAAAAAGGAAAAATGCTACAAAAAATTATCGAATCGAGGGGAGGGGTGGGGCAGGACGTACCAGTCTCAGGTGGAAAAGCCAGAAATGTGAAATGAGCATTTTCTACTTGCACTTCTATAATACGTCGGCAATGGCGTAGTTTAGTGAAAGGAGCAAAGTGACTACGCAATAAACAAATCGCCAGTAAACTTTTGGACTATTAAAGTTCGTTAATGTGCGCGGTTTTGAATTGTCACTATTGAAGGCCTTTAATTTGGCCTTTATATTATGTAATTTACCTTGAGTGAGCACACTTCAACTGCCTTTGGTAAGTTCAAAGGCACTAGATGATTCGATATGCTACCGACCTTGAAAATATATCTTAGACAATGACGATTTGCAGTAGATATGAAATAATCAATAAATCAACCCAACTGATGTAATTCTTCTTCCAATCCAAGTTCTCAGTATACAGTCGTATTGGCCAACTTTAATCTGTATGAATTGACATGTACAACTTTCCTTCTAATTACCATATTCGGAAACTTGAGAATATGTCTTTTAGTTTAAGTCTTAAAATGTGATTTGAGCGGGCGATTTAAGTTTGCTATACCATAGTTACTAACATTTTAGCAGTTTTCAAGAGTGTTAATATTGGCTTACACCGACAAAATGGGAGTAGTGTAATCACATTTTCTGCAATATTGTGCGATTTCGGATATGAGCTTTCTTGTGGTGCAAAGACAAGTTGGGATGAGGTCATGAAATCCGTGACCCTAGAGCCACAGGTAACTCCACATTCGTCTGCAAAGAAGTAGGTGAAATGGTCCTCAATATAATTCAAAATACTCTTCCAATATTAACGAACTTCATAGGTGTTCAGAAGATGTTGGAACAAAGAGATGCACACTGTGACTATAGCTCCAGAGATATCCCGACCTTTCGAGAGAAAAAAACATTTCCACATTTCAACCTCTTCCTATTTGCCAACTTTGATAACAAAGATTTGCATTTGTGAGCTAAAGTTGAGCTTTTAATTTAAATATTATGTAACCTTTTTAATAAAAAAAATAAATAAATAAGTACATTCAGCAAAGCGAATGCAAGGAAAATTATAAATAAGCAAAATTTAGTTAAAGTAAAGGCAAGTGACTCTTTATTGAAGCAATTTTGAGTTTGAACCCAAGCAAAATCGAGGATATATTTACGGGAGTTTCTTTCCAAGCTATTATTTTTCATGTGATACAAAATTCGTTAGTAATTGCAACTTTATGTATTTTTTTGCACATTTTGTGCTCATTCTTTCTCTTTCTTAATTTTTTTTTCACAAAACTCTTCCCGATCTATATATATATATATATATATATATATATATGTACGCATGGTTCTGACTCCGAAACCTTTAGCTGGGAAATCCCCCGTGTGGCACATGATTTGTCCTTGATTTTCTGAATTCGAGCGCTCTCACAATGTCATGTCAAAAAAATACCCAGTGTCATAGTTTAAAACAAAGCCAATATCTAAGAGCTTATGGTAAAATGGGCAAGAGAGATTTGAGTCTTCATGGCATTATCTTTAACAATGAAATTATATGAAGGTGACATGACTTAAATTGAAGGTTCATTTAACGGGATTTTTAGCGAATAAAACTGGGTGGGGGTGTGGGTGGGGGTGGAGGAGGAGGGGTGAGGGTTGATAACTTCACTGTACTGTGGAGTTTTGAGCCGTTTGTTTTTTTTACGTTTAAAATGATATCCGATTTTTTTTCCGAGATGCGCTCTCTACGTAGTTGACCTATCCCTCAAATTTGGATTTGTCAATGGTAGTGTCAATTGCGTCAACTCACCAATATACGCTTAGATGGCATTTATCGCCCTTCCAAATCTATCGTTAATCTATGACTGTATGCAGACGCCAAAAATACAGAATGGAAACTAACCTCATTTTGGAAAGCTGTACAATTAAGTGCTTTAATTCATTAATTGGATGCATTTCGGCCCTCTGAACAAATGATTACTCCCATTGAACTTAAAAGATTTTTGCAATCTTGCAGTTTATTTTGAATCTTATAGTGATTTATTTCTTGCTGTTTATTCAAACACTAACTTTGAATGACTTAGTAGTTATAGCTTGGAAAGTTAGGCGAGGATGACTAAACAAGTGTACAACCAGGCGGTCTCTTACAGCTTTCAGTAAACCCCTCGGATAAATTCATAATTTATAAAGGCTTTGTGAAAATCGTATTCATTTAAGGCATAATTATCTTGAGATTAAGTAATTCCTAATTAAATAAGCATGATATACTATCTGGAAGTCAAGATGAGAAAGTGGATACAATTTAGCGATGAGTTAGTGGAATTTATTTCCATAAAAGCACTTAAATCTTCAGTTCTTCTGAAAAGAAAAGACGACGACGACGAGAAGCTCTAACGCATAGCGGAGGGCATAAATTGTTGTTGAGTGTTTTGACAGCAAGAACATCGTTTGGACTTGTTGCGTTTGACGAAGTCCAGAAACTCCTTTTCACTAATCTCACCATCATTGTTTGCATCCAATCCCACCAAAAAGTTCTCCACATATTCTTTCGGAAGTGTTCCAATGCAGCTTTCGAAGAACTTGTAGAGCTCTTTCACACTAACTGATCCAGATTTGTCGGTGTCCAGAAATTGAAACAGTGAACGAGCCATTTCTTCATTTCTGAAAGGAAGGACATTGAGGTTATTCTTGCTGAAACTTACTGAATATTTTGGAAGAGATAAGCAAGTAGTCCATTTCGGTATTCTTCGAATGAAATTTTCCTATCACCATCTTGGTCATATCGCCTAAAGAAACACTTAATGGGTAAAAAGCGGGTTAGTTCCTTGGAAATATGGGATCTTACATTGATAGCGCAACCATGAACTGGATGGCCTTTGATGCAAGCCTTCAAGTCATCTTCCGTGATGAAACCGTCTCCATCACGATCAAGTTCCTTGAACTGCTTTTGCATGAAATCGCCCTTGGCAAAGAGGTTGGTCATGATGAGAAAGGGTTAAAGGTAGATGAATATAGGCAATATAGCCTTCTTATAGGGAGTAAATGGCACTTTTAATGTCGCAGGTGCGATTCTAATTGACCCCACGACCGTTTTCTACGCCTTTCACACTATTAAGACGCACTGGTGGCCTCAAGATTAAAGTGAATGGGGTTGGGGTTACGTTTGGCATAGCTTTTCATTGTTGAACTTTACAGTGCAGAATTTAAAAGTACCTTCAGTATTTATTAATGCTATTTTTCACAATTCCTCTAATTCACTCATTTAAAATGCAGATCAACTTTGAAGTTTTATAAATAAAGGTAAAATTTGGTCAGATGATGGCCTTAACATTGTTTCATTTTCAAAAATCTGACAAACAGTGAAATGTTAAATTCTGGGATAAATAGCTGAAATATGATTTTGGAAATGATATCCATCATTCAGCCTTGAAAATATCTCCAAGTACATTGTTCGAGTGAGGTCAAATGGTTTACTCTGAATAACGGAGTGAGTTTTGATCATGAAAGTGCATGGAGAAATTTAGGCGGGTTTGAAATGTCCTTCATTGTTCCACTAAAATTATTAGTAATGCCTAGTAAGCAAATGGTGAAATATAAATTTGTCAAATGTAGATGGAAACTACTTTTTTACACTACCCACTTTCATTGATTAGAAAGTTGACAAATTAGCAAGTGTGAGGGCAGGGGTATTGTTTAAATGCAGTTATTAATTAGATTCAAATAATTATCTATATTTGTGGCCTAATAATTGACAATAGATTGTTAAGAAATAGAATTATTTCAGACCAGATAAAAAATCTTTCGTTTCAAGAAAGAATATATATATGCAGAATCGATGGAAATAATGGATTGTTTAAATTTGCTAATGAGCTTTGTTATCATTGGCATTGTTCACAATGCCCAAACTAGTTTTTAAAGCGGTTCTCTAAGTGGTAAAGAGTAGGAAGTCAAATATAAGCTATTAATAAAAAATCACAGTTAAATTTCAAGAAAAAATGCACTTCACTTTATTTCATGAAGAAAAATTATTCCACTTTTTCTCATGACCCTTAATCATATGTCAAATGTCACCCCATGGAAATACATACTTGCAATTCCCTTAATCACACTACTTATTATCATATTAGTAGAAGCCTTGTAAGACTGCAGTGCAGAGTACTTTTATCTGAGTCTTGTGCGCATAACCTTCCTATCGTAGGCATCTGCACATTTTGCGCACAAGAGACCCGTGAGCCAAACAGCAGACCAGTTTGAGTCTTTATCTACTCCCGAAGAGGTCGTTTTATCTCAGTGTTCCAAAATTCCACCCATCCCAACATGCCCTTCAACTTCCACAAGTTCACCTGCAAGAAAAGTGCCTCCAAAGCTCCTACACCCAGCTCGTCGGCAAGCATGTAAATAAGAATATTTTATGTCATTCCTATTTATCATTTTTGATTTAATTGTTATGTCAATAAAGTTTAATTTAATGTAAACTTTGTTCCTAAAAGAGCTAGGGAAATAAGTCAATAAATTTCATCAGACGAAAAAATCTTTAATCAAAAAATGAGTAAATTAAATTGACTTTTTCACTCACAAAATAGGTTAATTCATTGGCTTTGTTTATTTTAATTTCTTATTTTGACTATGACTTAATTGGATTATTCGTGAAAATACAAATCCTACCTTTTTCCTGTTTCAAAAAGAAGGATAATTTTGAAAACGAAAGGCATTTATAAGTTTCATTGGTCAAATATCAAACCTTTGCGCTATGTGTACAGCTGAAAATTATCATTCATAATCCATTTATATTAAAAATAGATTTACAAAATTCAACATGAATCGTAATTACTTGAAAAAAAAAATTAAAAAAATATGTAAGAAAGTTTTAGTGGTGAACATGTTTTGTTGGGAGTTTGAACCCAGCTTTCACTGCCATAACGCGTTCTGCTTTGTGTGTTGTAGCGTTGAGAATTTGCGTGAAGCCTTCGATAAATTTGACACAAATAATTCAGGTGTACTTGATCTAGAGGAGATTCAGGCGGCGTTAGAGGAGTTGGGTAAACCCCAGCATGCATCAATCATACAATCCATTCTCCACCTCAAGGGACTTCAACACGGCGTCACTTTCGAGGACTTTGTCAAATTTTTCACTAACACTGCTTTTAACTAAAATTAACCATTGGTGTTGACACACTGACTGTATATTTACCAACCAACTTGACTAACTCATTTTAAAGTTGAAGCAATGGTCAAAAGGATCTCCATTTTTAAAACTCCATTTCCTAATTTCGCATTTTACGAATAACCTTTATAACCATTTACGCCAGTTGAGATACATATTTTTTTATTATTTGTAATAAAATGTTGGTTGTAACACATTTTTTGCTTATTTAGATAATTAGCCCTGAAATATGTCTTTGTATTGAAGCATTTTATCATCGTAGAGCAAGAATTAGTTTCATTTATTTTATTTGTTCTTAATTAAGTGATGTGGGGTCAGAATTGAAGAATAAATCCCGTAATTTGGTAATTTAAATAATATTTATATTTTAAATTTATATTTACCGAATTTCAATTGACCCTGCAAATCAATATTGAAATCTATTTAAACAAATCGTTATAGTTAACCTTAAAATTCATCTAATCGATAAATTCCAATTCTCCACCTTTTAATGTCTTTACTATTTTCCACAGACCCTGCAATTCAGATCATCGACCAGGCTGTCCATTACGCTCGAATGAGATGGCTCTTCGAAAACTCATCTCGGAGTTTGATGCCGATTCAGATGGTTACTTCACTCTTCTCGAACTCCGTCAACTCGGCCATGACCTCTGCATACCATATCAAGAGGTCACTTCTAATCATTAATTTCCCCTTTAATAAGATCAAAAGTTTTGATTTCCCATTTAAGTTTTGTAGGTGGTAGTACATGAGATGATGGAAAATGGTGGAAAACCGATTGGTTCCAATTCAGAAGGCCAGGAATTATGAATAGAACTAATTTTTATTATCAGATTGAGGGGTTGAGGTAATGGGGTGTTGCTCAGGCGAAATGGGGGGGGGGGGGGGGGAATATATCGAAAAGGAAAGAGGGGGAGGGGGGGGGGACAGGTGTCTGGAATAAACCAGACGAGATTCGAGATCGAAATTCGCAGTCAATAACCTATCGCTGCGCACACTTTACATCAATACTCTTAAAATTTCGCGTTAAAGCACTTTTAATTAACTTGCTTATTAATAATATTAAAAAATGTAAGTGCAATTCTACTTAAATTTGGTATTACATGAAATGGAGTGCTTTTATCAAAAATGTTACAGTTTTGCATGCTTATTTCTTTCATAATTGATAACTTATGGCTTAAATTAATTGTTGGAATACACTCAATTGTGAGTCGTTGCTTTGGAAATTTATATAAAACTTATAAGTTATTTAAGATCCACTAGGCAAAGAATATAGTTTCTTATATTTAAATAATTTATTTTCTCTGACTTCATAGAAAAATTACTACACCCATATTTTGTTTAACAAAATTTTATTTTAGCCAATTAAAACTGTAGTTGAAAGTGAATTCTTAATTTTTATTTTGATAAAACTATGCTAGCCCGACTTATAAAAATGCAATTTATATATATATTCTAATTTTCCTAACTATTATGAATATAATTTAAAACCCTTCAATTATTGCTGTGAAGGAAACCTTCACCACTTTTATATTTGTATTTCTTCCTTTTAAATTTTCCGTTTTAATTATTATTTAAAAAACAGCATTAGCTATTTACTGCTAATGGATAAAATTAGCCCGTTTATATTATTTGCTTTACATTTCCAAGCTGAAGAAGACTTGTAGCAAATGGCAATTTTAGATCTCGGCAAATATTTACTGCATATCGACGTAAAATTGATTTATTTGAGTATTTGGCGTAATTATGTAATTTGTGTCTTGTCTGTGTTGTTACAGTTTCTCAAGTGGACTCGCACGCCAACTGGTGAAGAGTTGAAGGCTCTGCCATTAGACACCGTTATCGAGTGCATTAAGGTCTTCGTGTCACGCCAAATGAAGTAAGTCCACCCAACACCTCATCTACTCACTCACTCACTCCCTCCCAACCCCCCCCCCCCCCCCCCCCCACTCCCCCACCAACCCCTCCCGTTCCCATCACAACCCCTTTCGCGCCTTCTGAGAAAGCCCCTATTTTCATTTTTGTGGCCCACTCTCTATCTCTCTATCAAAATCTTCCTCTCACTTCCCCAATCCATAATCAGGTTAAACGGGCTACGCCTTACTCCTTCTTCCAGCATGTGCTCTAGTTTATTAAAATTCAGTTTAAATTTCAATTTAATCCACTTGAGGCATGGCTCCTAAAAACCGGACTAAAAATTCAATATAAATGTTTGAGAATTGGTTTGGCAATAATTGACCATAATTTGTACTAAGACTATTAATATTTTAATGAAATTAAGTTCTATTATATGCTCCTTTCCTTAAGAAATGATTACAGTCTTTAAAGCAAATAAATCGAAAATGTGAACAAGATCTAAAAAAGCGTATTATCGATCCTCCATTGAAAAGAAGTTGTCAGGAAACTGTTAGCTCTCCAGCACTTAGAGATTCGACAAACAGCAAGACAAAATTAGCAAATTTCAACTTTTAACAAGATTTTAGCCTATAGAAATGAGTGATTATTTTGGTGAAGAATTCCTAATCAAATAAGTCATTTTACTATTTACACCTAGGAAATAAAACAAACAGATCAATCGAAATAAATGCTCTTATATGAGTAATTATATTTTAATCTCATTGCTTAATGTAATTAAAGGCTGTTCCAAAAAAAACATTTTTAACCAAAACTAAGGCAAAGGAATAAGATATTCACACACTCAATGTCTGACTAATTTCTGCTCTTGATTTAAAATTTTTTCTAAAAAATCATAATTTCAAAACGCATTGCATTTTAAGGTCAAAACAGGCTCAAGATCTCTTCAAATTGGCTGATATTGATCAGTCAGGAAAACTAAGTTTGACTGAAATCAAGCGGCTCCTTGAAGCCTCTGATTTTGATGTTGATGACAAGGAATTGCAGAAGATTTTCAAAAGAGTTGATGTCAACAAAGACGGCGAGCTGGACGATAAAGAATTCCTTGACCTCGTCAAATATATCATCGAAAACAAGTGAACAGCATTTCAGTAATGGATAACATTGTCATTTGTCAATCTCTTTTGCAGTCAATAATATCTTAACCCTTCAAATATAAAAAATTCTTCGCCTTACTGTATTTCATTAACGATTGCCAATTACCTTTTAGAAAGTTAACAGCAAAATTTAATAAAGTATTAAAGAAAGAAAATGTGTTTGATCAGAACTAGGTCACGTTTAGTTATTTAAATCTGTTAAATTAGAAATCAATATGTTAAAATGGGAAAATGTTGTAGTTGATGCCAGCATAATAGAAAGCAGCTATAAAGATGATCAAATTAAGCAATATTGCAGGAACCTATATCTCTGGTTCATTGTGGAATACTAAGTAGAGGTTACTAAGTAAACGATTTCGATAGATGCTTAATTAATTCAAAGTATCCTATATTAAACCTAATTTTTTATCGTCTCAGATTGTATCCATCGAAATTATCATTATCCTACGAAGATAAATAAGAAATCTCAAAAAACTGTGTTTCTAATATTAGGAAGTAAATTTATAAAAGCTACTATGTGTGAAAAAATTTATAAATATCTCAATAATTCAAATTTATTGATGGGTTAAATATGATTGGTTAATAAAGAATACTTGATTTATCAGGCAAATTCATTGGTCGGTAGTTATTAAAACAGATATTCAGAAGCGACACACTTTTAAACATTTTCATTGACTCTGCCCAACCTTCTATGATAATAGTTAAAAAATTATCGATTTTAATCTTCTTTGTAATTTGTTATGGGACCAATTTGAAGCTACAAGTTGTTATCACTCAATTCAACCGCAGTTGTGTACCCTACACTAGTATCTTCAGCTCAAATAAGACTGTATTGAAAACATTGGATTATGTCACCTCTCTAGAACCCCATCTTCTTCCACCAGAAGAAATAGGAATTTTAAGGCCGGTAATTGACGGTTGTACAGTTCGTGAACAAGATCGGGGCTATAATTTACTCGTTTTTTTCTCAAACATGATTGGCCTCGCTAACAGTAGTCAATGTTTTACCGTCTTCATTGGCCCATCCTTAAGCAGTGATTGCTTATTCATTTCTGATTGGATGGTTCATACAAATCCCGATATTCCAATGTTAATCAGACCCTATCAGATAAGCTATAAGTGCCCAACAGTGCAACCAGCAAGAGAGTACATTAAACGATACAGCAATTTGGAAAATCTTGACGTCGCTCCAGTGGTTGAAACAATTCGATATGCGGAAGTGGCAATGGGCATTCAGCAGAAGACAATTTCAGATGCTTTCCTGTCTCTATTACGATTTCATGGATGGAAGGCGGTTCTACTACTCTACGAAGTTAGTTCACTGAGTGCTCCTCTAATTTGGCTAGCTGATATGATTTCTTTGTCATTTGAAGCAAAAAGTCGTTCAAGTTCATCTCCAATTATTGTTGGCTCAAGAACGATCCATTCTGATTCTGACTACTATAGTCTTTTATTACCCTGGGCAAAAAGTATTGATAGTAAGTTTGCTATTCAACTTAATAAAGCTCTCATTAAGCAATATTATTAGTGTCTGGTCCGCCGATGGCTGTTGAGTTTCTGTATCAAGTAAAAACGATTGAAAAGATCAAGGCAGGTAAAATAGCAATCATTCATCTGGATCCTTCTGATTCAATCCTTTATGATGTCATGCGCTATTGGCGACTTGAATTGAGCAAAAGATCGGATCTAGGCGATGCAGGTCAAAGTCTCCTGCTTTTAGGAGCATTGCCTTTTGGCAGTGGATATGATTGCCAATCAGAGAACCTTTATTCGGTATGTCAATTGCTCTATTTCCTTGTCACATGTAGTCAGCGCTTCCTTGTAAATATACGCACACACCCAACTACTTATTTGAATATAGTAGACATAAAAAGTTGTAGAAGGAAAGTATGCAGTTAGTCTACCTTCATGTTTGAGCAAAGCTTTAACTCGAAAGAGGAATCAAAACCTGGTAAATATTTAATAATTGAAGCGACATTGTTACATTGAATCGAAAGAAAACAACAGAATTGGACACACGATTCGTCTATATCTACGTTAGAGTGAATTCTAATTACCCATATACTCCTTTTTCTACCAAACGCCTATTAATATATGCGTCGATTTCCAGATTGATTAAATGCGTTAAAAGTAATAAGTTCTAATTCCTCTATATTACATTACCTGATATGATATTACCTGGCTAAAAAACTAAAATTGGAATGTATCCGTAAAACAGTTGATTAATTAACTATCAAATTATGGACGTCATGATGACCGTTCAGTGAATTCGCAAGAAGTACAAGAAGACATACTGGAGCTCTGTTCACATCCCAGTGTTAAATGTAGGAAAATGAGAGTTCATAAGCCAATAATTGGTCAGGAAGATGGTGAAGCAAGTGGGCACGGATTTAAATTGGCAATTATTAAACTACTACTAATGCAGATATTCAGTAAACGCTATTCCTCCTCTCTCCGTGTATAGGACACAAGAATATCACTGGCGTCTGCGATTGCATTAGCTGTGAAGATGACACAGCACGCGCTGATGAAAAACAATGGCACTATCCCACTGGATACCGATTTCTTTGCTCCACTTTCAAGTAAAATCACCCGTCTGCCTGTGGCCCCCAATGTGACCTACATTTTCTCTCACTCTGGAGATGAATTAACGGATTTTTTCGACATCTACATTTTTCAGGTTGACTTCGGGTTCTTATCTTCACAGTATTCCGCTTTTTCTTCAACGCATAATGATTATTAAATCAGTTTATTATTTTAAACTTCACTATAATTACTGAAACTAATGCAAGACGATCCAAATCTATCGTCATTGACAGAGGGTGATTATCAGAGTGGGGAACTTGTGTCCAAATTGTATCTCTTAACATTGACCAACTATTCATGGTTTTTTCGAAAGCCCTTGAGACAAACGAAGAAAACCAATATTTGAATATAAAAATTGAAAAAAAGATTCATTCCCAATATGGAAGTATTAGTCATCATCATTAACAAAATCGGCATGAATAGAGTAGGAACTGTGGTGAACCTTGAACAAATAAACCTCGACTTTACCTCAACAAACTTCACGCCCGAAATTAGGCAAACTGCCCTAACATAATCGTGGAAACAGAGCGTATAGAGGGAATAGTCTTTATCACAGCTTGTGCGCCACAAACACCATCCTTTGTACTTAAAACAAAATTAGGACTAAGCCAACAATGTAGTGATTATTGATTGCTTGGTGGTTGAAGAATCTCTGCACTCACGACTGCACTTAATCACTTAGCGATCAGCAACACGCTGCCCCTTTCAGGCTCTTTGAGTGTGCCCGGCTGGCCTTTGTTCTTTGTTTATTAAGTTAACGTACATCACTCTGTTTAACTAAGTTATAATTCCAATAACACAGGCATGGTGTATTTTTTGCTCTTAATTACAGTTGAATATGACCAATTTGGGGAACAAATCTTTGGATGTTGCCAAGACGCCCTTCCATCAGCTCTTTCACCTTGTCTCAGTGATGCTGAATCCAGAATTCTATGTTCAGGAAATTAACCAGATGAAGTGGCCTGGTGGCTCTGATGGACCCCGCGTTGATGTGTGCCTTCAATCAGACTGTCTTGATGGTTTGTCTTCTTTTAATATTTTTCTTTTTCCTAAATTTGAACTTTGAATTATTTGATGGAATTTGGCTTGTAGAAGTGCTTAAAAGAAGTTTTGCTAAATTTCTCTAACAGTTAAAATAAATTATAGAGGTAAGACTTATCCATGTGGAATATTTTTATTTTCAAATGTCAGGCATTTTGATAGTTATCATTAGCCCTTTAGCTGACTTCGGGGCTTCACAGAGAGGAGAAGGAATATTAAAGTGAGAAAAATTCGACAAGGGAAAAGAAGGGCCATTCACAGATTTAAAAGAGACAGACAGACACAAAGGCAGAGAAAAGGCTAAATGAGTACTGTGGAAGGGCTCAAATATGACATACCGTGGGGTAATGGCAGTTTGAAGAGAGAAGTCAGCTGCCGGTTAATAGACTTTTTTGCCGTATGGGTATACGTTGCCCAGGCTGCACCACGTGGAGGTAAGTCTATCGCACATCCCTCCACGTGGAATATAAAAAACTCGATGTGTTGAGGACAGAGGTAATGGGGAGATTAGTAAGTCAAAATGTACCGATGTTCGCTTTACCACTAACTATAGGTCAGCTTTAGACTCTTACACCTTATTTGATATCAAACTCAACGTAGCACTACCAGTAGTAAGTGTGGATCTGGAAGCCCTTCAAAAATAAAGTTTGGATATTTTTCGTCTTGGCGCTCTTAAACCTGTAAGCTGGTGAGCATCGCATCACATTATTCTCTTCCTTCAACTAGTTTCAGATGCAAAATTAGTTCGTCCATAGGGATAAAACTTCTATTTGAGAAAAAGCCTTAAATTTATCCGTTTCAAAGCATTTGAGTTGATTGATCATAACTCGCAAATACTTGAAGAACTTGGATTCATGTCGAAACACTTGTTCTCTCTAATATATCGTGATATTATTATTATATTTAACCTTGAGTGAACTCCAGTGGGATTTGTTGAAGTTAAAAACCTTTATTGTATTATTCAACTGTTTTTGATCAAATGATTAAACTTATTTATTGAAATCGTTCGCCCAATTCTTTTACTGCTCGTTACATAAGATCTTAGCGTCGTGGGTCATGGCAATAAAATTCTTATATCTGAATTCTTCACCACCACGCAAACAAAGCAGACATGTCTTTCCTATCCATAATTCCCGGGTTCGGGTGTTCGAATGCATTGCCTTGAAGTGATTTTGGCAAAGATTGATCAAATATTAACATTTTAGGCACGATAATCGCCAAGACATCCCTTTTTCTCTTAATGACGGGAACAGCATCCGCATTGGTCACCCTCATTTTCGTCTACTTTAGGCAAGTTGGTTTAAACAAGGCAACATTATAACCTGCTGGCCATCACAATCAATCTTTGTTGTTGTT